CAGATTTTTCTGATGGAGCCTTGGCCTTCTATTTGCTGGTCAGGAGAGTACTCTTCCCACCCATTACCTTCTTAATGAAAGCTTTCCCCAACCAACAGATGCTCTCCCACGAATGGAATTATCTTGCTGCTTTTCTTGCATTATGGTTCCACCAACCAGTTCCTACCCCTGAGAGCTGAAGCAGGGTGTCCGTCTATGCAAAAGCGCAACGCTCCTGGTAGCTACTTCAGACACTCCAAAACATTAGCACCCATAACAATGGAACTAGGATCCCACGCCTCTACTTTGTCCAGAGGCAAACGCATTTCCTGGCTCCAGGAGGCCACAAACAAAATGTTTTTTGGAGGGGGCATAGGGTGGCAGAAACACCTCCTGAGTGGAGTGCAGCAACCAATTTTTGAAAAGCTTGAAGCCCAGCAAACATGACCCAGGTACCCTGGAAGGGGGTCAAAGACTCCAGACAATGCACTACCATTCAATGGGGAGAGGGGGCGCCACTCGGAATCACAACTTGGCATTGCTCACTTCAGATGAGTGCACCCCATCTTCTAGGAGGGGGTCTTTAGGGAGGAGGTCACTCCAGGGTGGATACGACACTGCCCTGGACCTGCATAGCACCCTGCAGCTAACCCAACAAATGTGTCAAGATGGGCACCCACACAGGATCCAATGCTGAAAGCAACATTACAGGCTGGCCCTGCATCTTTTGACGTCCATGTGGGGTCCAGGTACAGCCCTAAATCTCCCACTGTGGGATGCTGATCCGGAAACTGCATCCTTGCCAAGGTGGCCACGCGCAGTCAAACTTTATTGAAGACATTGTAAGACACTGACAAAAAAACTGAGGAGGGGTTATATAAGATCACAGATCTAGCCATGGTCTAACCACCCGATATCACCTGCATATTACTCCAGTCATCTATGAATTGTCTATGTCCTGTATGATCAAGATATTTTTTTTACTAAACTGATGGTTATTTCCCAACACGACACCTGGGTGGGTGTAATGGAGCACTCAGATGGGGACAACTACTGTAAGGGGGGACTTAAATTGGAACAACTAATGTAAATGGGCGCTCTGATGTACAACACTAACTGGACCTCCTTAAATTGTAATTCAGTACCCCTGCTCTAGTACAATACCTATTATGTGATATTCTGTTGGCAAGGAAGTGTATACATTCTTGCTCAGTGACCATACTTTTTCTGTTGGGTGTATGCAAGCTAACTCAAAATACAAAAAAGGGTAAGGGCAAAACCTGGACATTCATTTGTAAATATTTAATTGTATTTTTGCTTATGTCATTGGCTATTATTTTCCTAGTTTTTTTATATCCTTATAACCAGTAGACAGTAACATTCATTAAAAAAAAACAAAAAACACATGAGCTGGTTTTGAAAAGCCAATTTGTATGTATGGATCATGAGGATGTTGACTATAAGTATGACTGAAATGTCATTGAAGGTATTGTGTGCTTGAAAATATTTACAAATGTCCAAGGACCTGTAGCACTCCTTACCGGACTTCCCATGTGGAGATGTGGGTGCTCGCAATGACTACGGATGGCGCCGCATCAGATATAATCGTTGGATATGGATGTCACCAGCACTCCAGAAACGACAAAATAAGCCTGATGAAGGGGACCCTGTGCGGCCCCGAAACCGCTTGATTCCTTTCGAGTGAATAAAATGAAGATTCACTAAAATCTCTTGAAAATATTTAGTCACACAAAATGTTTTTGTTGTATTTCTTTCTAGGGGTTGGCAAAAGTGGCATATAGAGATGAGCAAATTAAAAAAAATGCCCTGGTTTATGACCTAGGTGGTCTTGGTCACATTCAGATATGATAATTCCACATGGATTTCCTTTGCATCTACACTCTGTCTGTGTTCATGAGAAAGGGGGAAACAAAAACATGATATACAGGTGAAACTGGAATAATTAGAATATCGTGCAAAAGTAATTGCAGTAAGTGCTGCAAAAGGGGCCCAAACCAAGTACTGAGTACATATGCATGCTTGTACTTTTCAGAGGTCCGATATTGTTCTATGTACAATCCTTGTTTTATTGATTGCATGTAATCTACTTTTTTGAGGTTGTGGATTTGGGGTTCTTGGGGTTTTCATGAGCTGTAAGCCATAATCATCACAATTATGACAAATCACGGTTTGAATTATCTTGCTTTGCATGTAATGAGTCTATCTCATATATTAGTTTCACCTTTTAAGTTGCATTTAAGTCTGGCTGTCCAATTACTTCAGTCATTTGAACAAGTATGCAAATTAGACATTCTTACTTCACTTAATGCATGCTTGTTCTGGAGCCATGACTTGGAAAATGCTGAAGTCTGCATCAGTGTGACAGCTGAGCAACTAGTGTTTTCAGGTCACCGGCAATGGCAGCCACCATATTTTTCCAAGCACAGATTTCTGTTAATGTCCACGTGCATGTCTGCTTAAATCTGCTTTTGTAAATTCTTTCATTGGTTTCCTTTAAAGCAGAACTCCAGACAGGTAGAGAAAAAACATTGTGTCCTAGTTTGTAAAAATATATTTCTACATTCAGCTAGCATAGTAACCTGAATCTGTCATCATATTGGCCTTCTGTCATCTGCAGAGTAGCACTTGTAGAGGGAGGGGGCACACAAGGAGCTAGGTAATCAGGCTCTGCTGCATGCACAATGGGCTGATGGAGGAGAAAGGACTGAGCACAGTTGATGACTTGTCATTATGTTGCTGTTCCTTCCTTATCCAGTCAACGGGCTGTAGGGAGGTGACACTGTATTCCTGAATGTTGACCGAGAAGGTTGCCAACATTGTGCTTAATTCACAAAGTGCTGGACAGAATTAGTAATCCTTATAAAACAATTATAAAATAATACACATGCGTGCTTTTCAGCTGTCTCTAGCGGTTTGGAGTTGAGCTTTAAGGCTGTGGCACCCAGACATGTGAAGCCACAATTCCTGTGGTCCTGATTTGTTGCAACCAAGACACAGGACAAGTGTGAAATATCTGGTAATGCAAATCTACTACATGCACAGCTTGCTATTGTAAGTCAAACCAGTACTTACAAAAGAAATCAATTCTTTATTTTACCTCCTGTCTCCTGCAAAATTGCATCAAAAAGAATGGTGTGGGATTGAAGGAGTCTGTTCAGAGCCTTTTCTTAACTGTATGCTATAAATATAGGTCATAAAGGGACTTGCTTTAGATATTGACACATTTTGCCAACGTATGCTCTTTGTTGTGTAGAGGATTGCTAAACTGGATAATGTATTGAATGATCCACTAGGGATTGTACTGCAGAAACTATATTTAAATCACTGGTGTTACTGCCTATCTACTTTGCTTGTTACCGGATAATAACCCTGAAGATAATGCTTGGCAGCTGGGCCTGCTCCTCTAGTGGCGAGATGGTGTATATAGTCACTAATGCGTCACCAGAGTAATTAGCATCTCTGTCCGTTCCCATCCATCACTCTGCCTCCTCTCCACCTGCTGGGGACTCTGTGTCATTTTCAAGTTATTTTTGTTGAGGTTACAGAGGACACTTTTGACAAGGAGAGGCTGTACCCAACAACTGTGTGTGTTGATGGACATTTTTTTTTTCTTGAACTAGGACTCTAACATGCCATAAAAACCACAGTAAATGTGTCTACTGTGATTATATACCCCTAAATAGAATTGTCAGATGTATGTGAATACAAAGGTAATTGCAGAAATGCTCCAGATAATGAAAATATTTCTGCTTTATTCTTTTGATTGACAGCTTCCGTAATATAACTTTTGTGTTATATTAATATAACCCGTATCAGACAGCAATTTCAGAACTCAATTACAGTAAGCTAAATGATGAGTCAGCAAAATGAAAATTTTGTTTCCTGGTATGAGAAGCATAATGCATATATGTTCTGTGGCAATGTCTTTTCTGCAATCAAACTAGCTGAGGCAATTTTCATGTATTTTTTATTATATTGTATTTTTTGTTTTGAACAGCTATTCTGTCACTGCTTCCATGTATCACATATCTAGTACCTGGCCTTTTACTCTAGCCCTCCCCATGACTAAGGGGCAGTATTCGTTTTTTAATTACACAGTATGGCTAAAAGCACTTACTTCTGCCCTATGAAGTTATACGAGGGTAAGCTAGCACTATTTTAAAATGTAGATTTTTAGCATCTTCTTGAGTCTGAGTATCATGGGAAACAGTTTATCTACCTTTTAGAACAGAAGCATAAGGGCACAAATCGTAAATAAAACAAAACCCTTGAAAAACATACAGGAGAATGGTTTATTCTCTGCTAATTGTAAAAAAGTAAAATCAAAATGGAATATTTGGGTTAAAATGTTTTGTTTTTTATAAGTTATATAACATACATCTTTCAAAGACCTATTTGGACTTCAGGATCACATCTTGCCATTCAATTTCAACTAGGTATACAACAGACATGACAATTGTGCATAGCATAGATGATACTGAAAGAGAACTTTCTGCATTGGTTTTGTTTTCTTTGTTTAGTAACCTCATTACTGGACACTACCAGGCAGTAACGCTCTCTTTTAAAGTTAAGAAAATGAGATAAAATATTACTGGTTTGGAAGATGAGCAGAGGAAGGCAGTCTGTAGTGTAGGAACCAATGCAACCAGCTTTAAAGGAACATACATTTTGTATTGGAAACCAATGTTCTTGGATGACTCCCATCGCCTAAAAAGGGTTTCTGCAACTAGAGACAGTGGTCATCCTTTTCTCCACAACTATGAGGCCCTAATCAGAGATGTTCATGCTACACTGATCAGAAGGATGCTTATAGTGATGCAGAAATGCTAATGGGTGCAGAGTAGGGAGGGGAATCTTTTGGAGCTCGGTCTGGTTTGAGGTGTCCTTTACTATGGACATGTACATAAGTTAGGAATATCAGTTTAGTCAGGTAACCTGTGTGTGTTTATTTTTAACATTTTGTGTAGATCTGTATTTGAGAACCTATGTTTTTTTTTCAGATCTGGTCGAAGTTTGAAGAGCAACCAGTAGAAGAAGTCGTGGCTGTGGTGGAGGAAAAGGAAAGGAATGTCAACTACAAACCTGTCTTAGTAACAGAAATTACAGATGAGCTACACTTCTATATCCAGGATGTAGAAACAGGTAAATGTCTCCTCCAATTTCTCCTTAAGCCCCCATTCACACCTGTGCATTCCATGAACTCGTGCCAAAGCGTGTGCTTTCGTGCACGTTTGGCACGTGTTTGCAGTAACATGGCAAAGTGTGCTTGTGGTGCCAATAATTTCTAATGGCACCCCAAACATGGCCAGCAAAACCCACGTTTGTGTGCATGAAAACTCCTAAAAACGCAGAATGCATGTCACACAAACAACTACATTGTCTTCTTTGGAGTGCGTATATGAACCCATTGAAATCAATTGGGACCTGTGGCCAACACAGCACACACAAAGGCATGCAAATGTGACGTGCGTTTCCACCATGCACGGGTGTGAATGCGGACTACCTTCCTTTCCATTTTACTGCAATGCACAAAGACAATCCACAGTAAACTTTGTTCTGTGCCCTCATTTTCTTACAATGCCAGTTTATATGCACATAAATTCTATCCAACGCTGCTCTTGGCCAAGCGCAAGATTCATTAAACTCATTAAGCGAACTTTGGGTGTAGTATTAGTGTAATACATAACTGTGACACACTGGTAGAAAGAAATCCAGGAAAGGTCATAGCTGCTGCTGCCAAAAAAATGTAATATCAAGGAAAAGGACATTTGTACATTAAAATTAACAATTCTATTTCGGTAAGTACAGAGCACTTATTTAATTTTGTTTCTACTATAGTAAATCAAACCCCATATGCCTGGAAGATATGTTCAGGTCCATTATATAGCATGTGTCTTATCTTCTAATAAAATATGTTTATAATGTCACAGATCAGCTGCAGAGGTGATCTTTCGCCTTTCGTCTAACAGGTCTGTGGATTATTCTTACCTCTTTGCTGCTGTGGTTCTGTTGGTACCAGTGGTTCTACAAGAATGTGCTCAGCTTTTTGCTGCACAGAGCTAGCAGCTATAAGTGTTGCTTGCCTCATCTGATGGTTAATATACCTTGCCTTTTAGCTGCTTGTTGCCAAGCCTTCTATCTCTCTTCTTATTTAAGTCCCGCTCAGACCAGCTCCCTTTGCCCGAGCAACGTTCCTCTTGCCCCTGAGCTCCCATCTGTGCCTTTGCCCCTGTTCTGCCAATTGCTTCCTTAGATTGACCTTCTGTGTGCCGACCCCGGTTTTGTCGTCTGCGGTCTGCCCTGACCATTCACCTGTCTCCTGTATATTCTCTTGGTCTCTGCCCATTTGTACTCGGCCTGGTGTCCGTATCCTTTTGCACTGTTTATATCCGCATCTGCTGCAGGGAGAACCTGTGGGCCACGATCTGGCACCAGCACGCAGTGAAATCCATTTCCACCATAAGTAGCTCTGGAGAAATGTGGCTGGTGCTTGGACTCCACGCCCCAGGGGATTCCGCATTTCCAACTCACACAAGCTACCCTGATTTTCTGACATATCTGCAGTGCAGAATAAAATTAATACCGTTGAGCTCAATTTACTAGGGTGGAGTGTTAAGCTGAGACCATATTAGTAGCAAGTGTGAAGTAATTTTTTTTTCTCACAAAATGGCCATTTGGCTGTTTGTCTTTTCCCTTAGGAAGCGTTTTTACCTCACAAAGCATTATTTTATCACCACTAATAATAGCTCCTTTTCCTACTCAGTAGACAAGTAATTGCCACTCATGATTGCCAGCCTGAAGCTAGTGGCATTTTAAGGAATGATGACCCTTTCAATATTGTTTGTGAATTCAGCTTTACTTTTTAAAAAATCACTGGTGGTATCTTCACCTTATATGTGTGGAAATGCCTTTCCTAAGCTAAAAAAATATATATTTTTGGTCATTTTAAATTACAAAAGTAAAGAAAGCACAGTAGTGAATTCACAAGTGTTATGCTTTGGTAACTCTGGGCTTTTTATGTTGCACAATGGTATTCTTCGAATAGGGTGCAAAATTGGAATGCACTGATGTTGGTATTAGTGCCGACACCGAGTATTTGGGCGGGTACTCACACTCGCACAGATGCTACCATTGCCTATCCCGATACCGGAACTTCCGTTATCAGGAAGCCGTGCAGCGAGTCATTACACGCTGCCTGGCTTCCTTATTGGACGGGAAGCCGACTCCATGCTCCCTCGTCACCATGGAGCATGGCGCTGGCTTCCCAGCCAATCGGGAAGCTGGGTAATGACTCTCCCCCCGGCTTTCTGATTGGCCAGAAAGCCAGCTCCATGCTTCCTCATAACCTGGTGACGGCTTCCTGGCTAATCGGGAAGCCGGGCGGCTAGTGATTACACGCCGCCTGGCTTCTTTAATGGGACTCGGTAGCGGCACCTACCAAAAAAGAAAAAACGTAATCAATACTGAAAGAACGGTATCGGTGCATCCCTAGTGCAAAACAAAGCCAACTCCGAGGCTCATATAAATGGGTCAGGAAACCCACTCTTCTACACCAAAGTGGAAATTATTTAAATTTGACATTTTATCTTTCTGAAAATATACTATGATTTTGTTGACTACCTTTTGAACATAAATAGTTTGCACAGGTAGTATAAAGGTGTGTGCATGTCAAACAGTAAAACTGGTATGCAAATTCTGGCCCTCCAGGTGTGGGGCAGCTACAAATCTCATTAAGCATGGCAAAACCGACAGCCACAGACATAACTCTGAGGCAGGCACATGATGGGATTTGTAGTTTCCCCTACAGCTGGAGGGCTGGAGTTTGCCTACCGCTGGAGTAGAGGATTGCAAAGGGGTGACTATCTGCAAATCCTGTTTCTGTGATAGGGATAGCAAAAAAGCAGTTACAGGTTTTCAGCTTAGCTCAGCATTTTTTTTTAATGTTCAAATTCCAAGCCCCCAATGCAGATTTTGAGGCAATTGGGTGCAGGGATTGGGCCATGTCTTATCTTAACTGGACCTGGGCAGGTTCTCACCCTTATGTTTAAAAAAAAAAAAGCTAATTTGCAGACTCTCCCCTTGATCTGGGCCTCATGTATGAAAAGTGTTCTTGATTTCCATGGCAACCAGTAGTCTGTCATTTCCCATTTGCATGTTAGAAAATGCTGTAGGCCTGTTTATTATCACACTGACTGAAATGAAAGCTGCATGTTTCAACCTCCTAGGGTCCAGTAAGGCTGGGTTCACACCTAGGCGTTTTTCCGCGCTTTCGTACTCGAAAAAACGGTCAAACAGGGAAATGCCATTATTTTCAATGTGCATGGTTCCCATCTGGGCGGTTTTCCGCGAGTACGAACGTGCGGGAAACCGCCCTACGCCCAAAGAAGTGCATGTACTTCTTTGGGGCGTTTTGGTCGGGCGGTTCCATTGGGATACAGCCAAGCATCCCTCGTTTTTCGCGCGTTTTTTTTACCGCAAATTGCGGTTAAAAAAACGCGCGAAAAACGTGCATATTCAATCTGCCTAGGTGTGAACCCAGCCTAAGATTCCAACATATAGTGGAAAATGACAGTTGGAGAAAAAGGGTTTGCAGTGCCTTCTAAACAACCAATCCAGTTCAGCCAGTATCTAATTTATTACACTTTGATAAATTAGGTCCTGTGATTTCTAGTTTGAACATTGCCACTCTCCTGTACATTGGTTTTCATGCAGTGCAGCCATAGGCGCAGTGTGATTTGAGGATAAGAGCTAGGCAGCTAGGTTAATCAATTTGTCTATGGAATTATGTTCGGCATGCAGACTTGCCCTGCTCAGTTAAAGTAGTATTAAACTCTCAAACATTTTTTCGATAATGAATCCAGATTCGTGATATTTTGACCTTCTCCTCCCACAGAGTTCCCATCAGTTGAGTGTTGTTATGTGGATGAGAACGTATATATGCATATTAGTTGCATACAGTATCTCACTATTGGTTAGCTCCTAGGGGGGGATTACCTTTTTTTTTTTTTTTTTTTTTTTTTTTTTTTTTTTAAAGCTGTGGGGCTGTCATTATGCAGATTCTTCCTCTGAGGTCACTTCCGCCCTCTCGTAACAACCACTTCCCTTTGTGTGTTCTTTTTTTTTTTTTTTTTTTTTTTTTTTTTTTTTTTTTAAATAGCTGATGGGAAGGTTATCAGTGGGTTAGGCTAAAATTGTGAAGGTCCAGGGGTTTTACTGTGTTCAATTAAGTATTTGTGTGTGTATGTTAGGGAGACCATTCGTCCACGATTTCTGGGGACAGTCCTCGGATTGAGAAGACCGTCACCGGACAAATGATGTCACCGGGAACATGAAGTAAGAAAATATATATATTTTTTGTATACTCTCCTGATCCCATCGACCGACCATATGTGCCGTGGTGTATAGTGCCTCGCTGGGATGGTGACCCGTCTGCCTGTCTACAGCGTCCCGCCGTACCTATGGTGACCGGTGACATGGCTAGGTCCACACCCACACAGGTGCGTACGGCCTATCCCACCACGAGTCCCTGCTGCATCTGTGACGGCCCACAGGGGGGTGTGGCGGGAGTCGTGTCATTCTGAAGTTGCAGCCTCCCCATATACTGGACACAGGATGGGCGTAACAGAAGGCAGACCACTCCCCCTTTAGGAACGGATCTCAGCCTGGCCATCACTGTGTCTTTGAGGTACTGATCTCTCAGTCTCTACTGTATGATTACCGGATTGGTTTTACTATGAATAATGGGGGGAGTATGACGTCATTGCGATGTCACATGATCACAGCAGGCTCTGGGATTGGTTTGTCTTCACGTTTGGTGTGTATATATTCTTGTGGTGTCACTTGCATCTGTACCATTTGTTTTGCCTGATTAAGGGGATCATGTGAGACCCCAAAACATTGCATTAAGTGTGTTATGCTATGCTCTATATATACGTCAGTAAATAGACGTATTTGATTTGCTATTGGAGTGCCAGTGTCTGTATGTTTCTCCTTGTGATTGTGACGGTTGCCATACATTGACAGCCACAGCACCCATTCTACTACTTTGGAAACAGCGGTTCTGAGTGCGATGGGTTTATTACTGTATTCTGGATCCACCGACGAGCACAACCTCCCGTCTCCGACGCTGCATACAGCATGTG